TCACTATTAAAACGTTTTCTATTAAGTAACAGAATTTATTTATTATATTAATTTACAATTAAATTTAAAGATTATCAAAATGAATTGTTGATAGCACGACTCGACTGCACTGACTGAGCTCGACTTCTCACTTCACCGCTGACAGCAGCTCAAGGTAAGCGCGGGAGAGCGCCTCAACAAAGCGAGCCGTGTATGTGGCTGTCGCCACATGCAATAAAGTCGAATGGGTGAATTCACAAATGTACATAATAATGTTGAATGGGTGAATTCACAATACAATGCTCATTTTATTACATCCCCCACCCCGTAGAATGCTTCGTTCCACAGTTATCTACCTCTAAAATAGCAAGTTTAGATGCAGGATGTCGGCATGGCGAACCTCACTATCAGTTCCTTGATATATTTGCACAACTTTGCAAGGACAGAGCTCACATATAAGCACCAAGTCCACAACCTGCAATGCTATTTCTCGGCGACACCACTTAACGCTTCGCGTTAACGTCGGAGGATATTCTGGTATCCAGCGTTTCCAAAAACGATTTCTATACTGGCGCGACAACCGCCACTGTTTACGGAGAGCACATTATTTCTCTACAGGATCCTTCTACACTTGGAGTGTTAGCCGTATTTGCCGAGCCTAGAAACAAATAATTAGGTGTCAATGGTTCTTCCTGATCGCTGCTTATAGGAATATGAGTGAGTGTCCTGGAGTTTATAACGTTCACACTTATCATTGTATGTTTTTTAGGACATTCTTCCTTCAGAGTGTGCCACAGCGCCCGCTTAACACACTGCACCATCCGTTCTCATGCTCCGCCTTCTGATGGACTACTCGGCCGGTTAAATATCAATTCAACTCCCTTCGACGACAGCTCATCCCGGATCTTCTCACAATCAAAAACTTTCGTGAACTTCTTAGCTTCCTTGTCTGCCCCAATAAAGTTTGTGCCGTTGTAGGAAAGCAAACGTGCGGGTACTCCTCGTCTGTTGATAAATTTGCGGATACATAGTATACAAGCATCAGTTGAGAGATCCTGCGCCAATTCCAAATAAATGGCCGGCACCGTGAGATAGGTAAATAAGGCAACCCATCGCTTATCCGTTCGTCGGCTTATCGAAACGTTTATCGGCCTAAAAAATCAACGCCAGTAAAGGTAAACGGGCGGACATATGGTGTTAGACAGTCCTGCGGCAGTGATCCCATTAATGGTGCAACAGGTTTTGTTTTTGAAATTTTACACAGACCACAGTTAGCAATAACGGAACTCAGTACTTGACGAAGGCGCGGAATCCAAAATATACGACGAATCTCAGTGATGGTCGCTTCGATGTTTTAATGAGACATCTTGCTGTGATTGTAGGTAACTATCAACTTTGAAACCAAATGACGAGCTGGCAAAATAATTGCGACGTTTAGCATAATACGGAAGGCAGGTTGCGGCATCAGTCCTTCTGTAGACTCTCAGCACCCCATATTCGTCAGCATAGGGACAGATTTGATATAATTCGCTGTCACGCGCGAAATTTCTGCTTAATCTCCTCGTCATCGGCAGCGGCGTCAGCGTCAGGCTGATATCCTTGTAAGCCTCTTAGAAATGTCGGCACACTGAGCCAGCGCGATGTCAGCGAAAAGTCTATTGGACACTTTGAGCGCGTAGCTTCCCATCTCCGGTTTCTTGGATTTGATCCGTCAAGAATCTTCGCAATCCTATGAGCGACGAGGGTCTTGTATCGGCGATTCTCGCTATTAATCCAATTTAAAACGGTGCTTGAATCGCGCAATAGGAAGCAGTCGTTAATTTTAAAAGATTGTTCGTTGAAAATCGTTTTCATCAGCCTTGTTCCTGGAACAGCTGCTTGTAGTTCCAGGCGCGGGATAGTTAGCGGCTTTAATGAAGCAGTTCTAGTTTTAGCGCATACGAATGATACTCCTATCATGTCACAAACTGTAACGTATCTCCAATAAGCTACTGCTACGAATGCGTCCTCGCTTGCATCCACAAATACGTGCAGTTGTAATTGCTTCACAAGTTTACTATCAAAATAATGGCGGGGAATTCTGCATTGTACTACGTTGGAGATTTGCTGTCGGAACCTCTCCCATGCTGAGTTGACTTCAACCGGGATGTCTTCATCCCATCTGATCTTATGTCTCCAAACTTCTCTTAATAGTAACTTGGCACTGATCGTGAAGTGGCACAAAACCCTATGGGATCGAATATAAACATGACTATGCTAAGAAGCTCTCTTTTTGTTGGGCAAAAGCTATCAAAGACAGTCCTATCGGTATAATTAAACTTTACCTCGAAATTAAAATCATCACTGCTAGGTCACCTGTTCATCCCTGAAACCTTCTTAATGTCCAATGCGAATTCATCACGTAATGACTTCGATACATCGGGCGAGTTAGATGCGGGGTGTCGTACTATAAATCCAGCGTGTTTATGGATATCACACCCCTACTTAGTGACGTTGATAGCTTCAGCAACGGACTCAAAACTGTCGACGAAATTGTCCACATAATGGTACTCAAGTATGGCTTTAACCGCTCGTAAGTTATCGGCTGGGCGGTGTTTCAAGGCGTTAACCGTTATCACATGCTACGCTACACATGGTGAGCAGGCTGCTCCAAATGTCATCGCTACCATCTCGTAAACGTCAGGCCGCTTTGTATCGTCTCCCCCTCGCCATAGAAATCGCTGAGAACATCGATCGTTGGGCTGAACCACTACCTGATGGAACATTTCCATTATATCACCGCAGACTGCCACAGGACCCTCCCGAAAATAGAACAGTATTGCAACAAGCGGAAGGTAATCCTGCGGTCCTTTTAGAAGGTGCGAGTTAAGTGAGGTTCCATTTGAACAAGCTGCTGCATCAAAGACTAAACGCAATTTCGCGGGTTTATTTGGATTGATGACCGCGAAGTGTGGTAGGTACCAAATCCTTGGATTGTACGTGGTGATTTCGTCAGCAAGCAGCTTGCGAGCGTAGCCCTTTTTAACATAACCCCCGATGATTCCACTATAAGCCGTGGCAAACTCCTTATGACGCTTCATTTTTCACTCAATATCAATTAACCGCTTAAGAGCCATTGCATAACTTTCAGGCAGCACAGTATCCTCTGATTTCCACAGCAAACCTGCTTGAAATTTCCCATTGATCTGCAAAGTGGTAGCTTCCAAAATTTCCTTCGCACGTATGTCCTCATCACTAAGTATTGGCGGCACCGCTTTCACTCCAAAGTTTTCTGTTTTAAAATAGTCAGAAACAATGTCGTGAGGCTCCAAATCATTTGGGGTGTGTATCATCAAACATGTAGCATTTAAATTAGATCCTGTATTAGTCTGTCTGAAAATTACCCAACCAAGCTCGGTATTTGCTGCGTATGGGCCATTCCCTCTAATGCCTATAGTCTCGGTAGGTAACCCGAGGTGACAGTGATCTAAACCTATAAGAAGCTTCGGTTTAACAGGAGTACAACGATGGGGTGAATTTGCTATCAAGCTTCAAGTTCTGGAAGTCTTTTACTGACAAGGATTGAGTAGTTAGGTTAAGATTGTTTACTCCGTGAATGTTGCGCAGCTAATGCCCCTTTCTTAATCCACGTCCGTTTACGTAGAGGGCAACCAAAACTGTGGGCTCCTGAATCGTTCTACCCCCCAACCCTTTGTATGTCAAGCTGCTTTCGTTGACCACTGACACCCAACTATTCCAACACGACTCTGTCGACCATTGTCACCGACGACCCTTCATCTAGTACTGCGTATACATCTAAACTTTTAGCTTGCCCGTGGAGGGTCACAGCCACTACACGAAAAGTTAATTTATTCTAGGATTATTGTTGACTGTGCAACGTAAAACTGCCTCATTTGTTGAATTGGCAGTCTGGGTTGTATCGTTTGTTGTGAGGCTACCTGTATCGCTCGTGCTCACATTCTGCTGTTCGTGTAAAACTTTATTATGCTTCTTTCCGCAACCATTTATTGTGCGCGGTTCGTTTGTGACAATCTCGGGTAGAGTGACCATAGTTCAAACAACTAAAACAAAGTCGATGTCGATTAACGATAGACCAACGATCTGCTATGTTCGCGTCTAAAAATCGCTTGCACTCAAATGTTGTATGCTTTGCGTTACATACGGAACACTTAAGGGAACTTGTGACCAGCGTTTGGACTTTACTGCAATTGCAGTAGATCTGCTGCATTTTTGAGACGAAAAAAAAAATCTACTGCCTACTGCGAAATAGTCCCAATATACTGCAATTTTCCCCAGAATTTACAAATTGAAAGCAATTTTTCGAACGTGTAAATTAAGCGTTATCAATAAAATCACAAAATTCAACTCTGTGGAGAAGCTTACTTAATGAACGATTACTTTCATCGAGCAAAAGAGTACTCGAGTACTAGTACTTATCGGTTACAATTGCTTGACAAAAGTACTCGTTAAAGTAGTCGTTTCGTTAATTGAGTTTTATTTCCTCAAAGTGCGCGTAATCATGGAGTCGAAAAATAATAGGTAAGTAAATGTATTTAGATGACTTACATATTTTATTATAATAGTGGTATTCATCTAAACCGATAACTTTATCAAGCAGATAATCTTATAAGCTTATGCACTCTGTTACATGAACGACCCACACTCTCTTTTCGTATACACATGCGACAATAGTCGTGTTTTCTTTGGTTATAAAGCTCAGTGTCACTAACTTTATACTACTAGCACGGGGATAAAGAAATTATAGAAACTACCTCACTAAATTGGAAAAAATTATATTTGCGAGATATCTATTTAAATAAATGTACATATAACATAAAGGTTATTTATTTGAAGCAACCCTACGGGACAACTGAGTGATCACTGATGAATCATCTGAGTATCAGCCTTGGAGTATTAACCCCTCAGATTATACATCAGGGCCCTTACTCTGTAGTTCGAGTCGAAAGGTTGTTCTATTCGAAAGCCAAATTCGAATCGAAGCCCCATTCGCACTCCATAGTTCGTTCGAATCAACTTTCGAAGATATTCGAAAAAAGAGAGCAACACTGTTCGCCAAATGTCAAACGCAAAGCAAAATAAAGAAAGAAACTAAAATCAAAACAAGATGAAATTGCTAACATTTCGATTGTGAAGTTTGTGCACTTAAGAACTCAGTAATTGTTGTGTTAAATATATTTAATATTAGTGAAAGTCCTTGATAAAAAAAATTACCAAATGGATTCAGTGGCGATATGGTTGGAAGCAGATGAAGGCCAAGTGGCGGAACGAGTGCAATTGAGAGCGCTTAGGGATAAGGCCAACATATTCACTCTCAATGATAAATGGTAAAAGGATTGCTTTATTTGTGACTATTTATATTTTATGTATTTATAATTATCCCTTTACAGTTTTACGCAAAATTTCCGCCTAAACAAGCAAGCGTTTCGGTACGTGCTAAATGCCATTACGCCGGAGTTAAGTACTCCTCGAAAATCCACAGCAATTCCGCCCATTATTAAGCTGGCCGCCGCACTGAAATTATTGGGGCAAGGAGGTTACCAACACCAAATTGGCCAAGACCAACACGTAGGCCTTTCTCAGCAGTCAATGTCACG